CCGCCGTGCCCAAGTCACCGGCTACCGCCGCCTTACCCAGCTCTTCGGGAACGTCTGCTGCCAGACCTTGGCCACCATTCCTCGAATCTTTCACATCCTCCTCTTCCAGACCCTTGGAGGGCATTTCGGGCACTGCCAGCTTCTCTGCAGCGACCTCCTCTGTTGGGATCCCCACCTCGGCATCTACTGGAAATTTTTCAGAATGCAAGCATCACTCTGCCACATGGTTCTGAAGACAAGGCATAAATGCCAAGGGGTTTTCCTCCCGCCTCCCCCTCGCTGCCCACGCCCTCCCCAGCCGGCACAATCTCAGCCCCGCTCCCCTCTTCCAGCTCAGCACCTTCACGCTTCACCGCATAAAGGCCGGGCACAACCAGAGCTCATCCCTGCAGACACCCCAAGGGCAGTCTGAGGTGACAAATGTCACCTAGGTAGGACAGGGGAGTCTAACAGAAACATAGGGGCTCGTCCTTCAACACAAATCGACTGGGTAGGCTGGTTGACACCGTGCCATGCCTCGTCCTTTACGGTTTCAAGGCTGGCAACAGGATTTACTGTCAGAACCCTTTCTTGGCCTGTCTGAATCATGCTAAATCCTGTCCTGAAAGCCCCAGGCCCAGAGAGAGCCCTGTGTAACTCTCCTGCTGTTCTCTGAGCGTGCTGGCGCTCCTCACGGCTGCCGGCTCCCCGTCCGGGAGGGCTGAAGCGCTCTGCCCCAGTACCTGCTGTGGGCGCAGCCGATGGAGACTGGTTCAGATTCACCGCTTCACAGCAGCCCGTCGAGAGAGGGCAGGAAGGGGACGGGGCTGGCTGGCTGAGATCTGCTGGGACAGCAGCAGCTTCATGAGGTACATGTGCTGTGAAGGCAAGAGATGCGATGACCCTAGTGGGTGAGATACCGTCAGGCAGGGGCCCGGGATCCCTCACATCAGCTAGGTTTGCAGCCACTCACGTGCACTGCAGTTCGCTCTGACCGCCAGGCTCCTGCTTTCTTCCTGGTCCCTACAGTTCCCATCGCAAGACTCCTTTGTCCGCATCTCCAGCAGACCATCGTCGCTCGCACAGCTCAGACGGTCTAGCTCTGGGGAGGAGAAGAGCGCTTGGTTTTACCGGCAGGGTCACGGGAGGGTTTCCAGGCTATCGATGCGTCCCAGCACACGTTCCCTGCGTCTTTTCCCAGCACAGACTGCCCACAGCCAACACACGAGACACCTCAGTCCCTGCGGCTGAGGGCAGGGACCGCAATCGTCCCGGTAAGCAGCCAGGAGCCAGGATTCTGGCATGGAAGAAACCCAGTGTCACGCACCTAAGGCTGGCTCCAGAAATACATCTGCTCCCTCCAGGTCTGACTCCGCTGGTGTGCACAGCACCTCTCCTCTTTCGATCTGAGATAAGAGTTCAGGCTTGGATAGGGCACAGTCTGTTCAAGAGCAAGACAGACATCAGAGGCAAGATGCGACAGTGTCCTTGCCGGTGCACCCACAGCCTGGCAATGCAGAGTCAGTCCCAGCCCAGAAAAACTTAATCTCCAAGCGGGGCAGCGTCAGTGCCGGTGCACAGGGAGTTACGGACACAGAAAGGGACCAGCAGGCAGCACTGCTAGAGGGGAACCTGAAAAGCACCCTCTGGCAGGTCTGACAACGCCAGCCCCCAGCAACAACTGCAAGAAAATCCATCCCTGCGCCATGTGGGAGAAATCCCTGCTCCAGAAACTCCCCGTTCTCCCAGAAATTCACCTTACGGACAGGAAAACCCCACTGCGACAAGAAGCACTGCCACGGGAAGGCAGGAGTTCCCTGCCCTGCTTTGGGACTACGCTCACCCCTCGCCTCCTTCCTTAGTGCTTTTGCTCTACCTCCTCGGGCTGCGCTTGTAGGGGAGTCCCACAGCAAGAGGGGACAGCCCTGGCTGGGAAGTCCAGGCCCCCACTCCATCATCTGAGCACTGGAAAGAATTAATTAGGAGCACGAGGTAGTGGCTGGGCTAAGCAGGGTGTTATAGCATCACAGAATCCTTTAGGATGGAAAAGACTTTTAAGATTGAGCCTCATTTGAGCTCATTTCCAGCTGTGAGGGCCACACATTTGAAAATCCAGCCAGAAGCACCCCAAACACTGCCCCGTGAGATCTTCTGCCCTGCCTAGCTCTGCCCCTGCACTAAGGGAGCACCACCAGCCTCGCTCCCCACGCCAGCACAAACGGATGGCACATCCACCATGCTGATGGGAAACCACACGAGGCCAGATGTGGAAGAGGGAATTTCTGTGATGAAAAGAGGGAATTTCTGTGATGACAACCCAGGGAGTTCAGTGTGCCTGTTCCCCACAAGAAGAGGATACTGAGCACTTAGTACCCCCTCCTGCGTGTACCTGCCAACCTCCAACCACTGCCAGAGGGGACAGGGAATTGAGCGGATAGCCTGAGGGCTGGGGATCCCAGTGAAACACAGAGGCAGAAAATCAGCCCCAAGAGAGCTCCCCAGGCAGTGACGGCAAGAGAGCTCCCCGGGCAGTGACGGCAGCTGCCAAACCAGCGCAAACGGAGCCTACACAGGGACACCAGCGTCTCGTAGTTGCCCTCCATCACGGTCCTGTACAGCTCCTTCTGCCCGTCGTCCAGGCTTGCCCACTCCTGCCTGCTGAAGTGTACCACGACGTCCTCGAAAGTAACCGGCACCTGGGAGCAAAGGCGCTGGGCTGTAGAAGGGGGCAGCTCCTCCCAGCCGGCTCCCAGCCCCTCAGACACCACCCCCCAGCCCTTTAACAGCCCAAAAAGCGGCTCCCCAAAAGCCCCCATAAGGTGTCCCACAGTCCCTACAAAGCCCCCGTCCCAGCCCCCAGCCCCTCAGCAGCCCCAT